TCTTACATACAGAGAAAAAAACAAAACTACTTGCCATGCTCTTTGATCTAAAATTTTAGAACAGATAAGCAGCAAAGACTTTATTTTCATAGACGTTAGCTGACTGAGCATGCTTCATTGTCAGCAAATAACCCTAAACTGCTGGCTAAAGTGGCTGATCTGGAATCACGTAGCCGCCGCAATAATATTAGGCTACTCGGCCTGCCTGAATCCAAGCCCAGCCCACTTCCTTCTTCTCGGGGCTTCTGATGGAAGTGTTCGGTGAGAGCTGTCTTTGCTAAACTGAGCCCAGGTCAGCGACCTAGGCCACTTATTATATGCCTTCTAAGGTACCAGCATAAAGTGACTATCATAAGTGAAGCCAGAGCTAGAAGAGGAAGGCTTCAGTACTGTGGGACATCTATTGCGATCTATGAGGACTACACTCCCGAAGTAATGGAACAGTGATCAAAGTATCGTGAAGTTATGTCGGACCTCTATAAAACTTAAGCCTGCGCTACTGTTTCCTGCAAGACTTTCCATCAGTGCGAAGGAGGGAGGTAGGAAAATGTTCTCCTCAGGGCATTTATTTTCAATGGGTGGGCACTAGTGATGGGGAATTTTTTTCGGATATCCTATAGTTAGGCTACTTATTATTGCTACTGCCGTTTCTGTAAGTGAATTGCCTGAAGTGATGCAAACCAACTCCTCCTAAACCGACTCTATTATAAACCTATTGTAAACAAAGTTAACAGCACACATGTAGTTTAACTGCTATCTCACTGAGAGGAGAGACGCATTTTACTTCTAGTCTGCTCTACCATAAGCGTATACACTACTACAACTAAAAAAGGACCATGTACCATTATCAAAACAATATCAACACATAGGCTACACATACAATCTCCATTATCAAAAATAAATAAAACAGCTGTTTCTCCACGGCGGGAGGGACATTTCTGCACATTGGACAGCGCACAACTGAAAAACTAAATAGCCTACCAAATTGATAGTATCATCACAACACAACAATGCAAAATAGTGCACTTTGACAGTACGCTACATAATACCGGTTACATAAATACACTAACTACCGGGCTACACGAAACTTTAAATTGAACTCACAATTAGAAGAGCTGAAGACGCCGCTTGTGAGCTGATTGGAATTTCTTGAGAACGCTGAACTAGTCTGGCGTGAAGCTGAAAACACATTTTTGAGAGAGGAAAACAAATTTTCACAGGTCGCGGTAGAAGTAGAAGTACCAAATACCAAGGCCAGTTGGAGTGCCGTCAGCACAGTGGGCCTAGCGTTTTGTGATGTTTGGACAATGATGTCAGCGAACTAGCAGGTTGTGGCGAATTCTGCCTGCCTGCATGGACCTCACGGGTGGTAACGCTCATTCATGCTGAGAAAAGAGGTGGATCCAAATCTCAGCAGATAGCCTACAACATCTGCTCTGCCGAATTATGCATCCACCTCTTAAGGTCCTTTTCAGACACTTTGCTGTGCTCATTGATCAAAATGCGGTACACTTCTACTAAGTGTAATAAATTATTAACAACTCTAAATGTTCATAAAATATATATAGGCTACTTCGTTTAGTAGTGTTAATCTCACACAGCTTACTAAGGAACCCACTAGAGTGGATAGCCGGTCTTCATCTTTGCTTGACTTGATACTGGTCTCTAATCAGGAAAGGATATTTAAATCTGGTGTCTTGATTTAGTGATCGCTGTCATTTATTGTCTTTGGAAAATCAAAATGCCACATTTCCCTCCTAATGTTGATTATTTTATACAGGATTTAAACTCTATGAAACTTTATTAACTATTAATTGGGACAGGTTCCAGCTAATTCCTTTTGTTGACGATGCATGGATCTTTTTTCACTCTGAACTTACCAATGTAATCGATAAGCATTTTCTGTTTAGAACTATTAGAGTTAAAGGGAAGTACTTACCCTGGATCAGCTCTCCTCTAATCAATATTTTTAAGCAAAGAGATAAGGCATGGGCCAAATATCGCCTTACTAAATCTGCCCCCGACTGGGATCATTATAGATCTCTCAGGAATCAGTGCAAGACTCAAACCCGAAACGCTAAATCCAGTTATTATAGAGACTGCTTTCTTAATGACTTTCATAACCCTAGACAGTTCTGGAATCATTTGAATTGGGTTCTCAATAGGAATAGCAAAACTCCCGTGAATCAACTAAAAATGAATGTTACAATTTCTGATCCTCCCCTTATTGCTCATGCTTTCAATCAGCATTTTACAGCTTTTTGAAGTTCACCAATGACCTTTTCTCCGCCTTCGATAAGGGACAGCTAACTGGCGCTATTTTCATCAACCTTTCCAAAGCTTTTGATATGGTGCAAGCTGACTTTATTATGACTCAAAAATGGCTTCAGAATAACAAATTATTGTTGAATATGGAAAAGTCCTGTTGTATGTTGTTTGGGACGAGGCACAGACGACCTTGTGCTCTTAACTTGCAACTTTATTGATGATTGATGATGATATTGATGAAGATGGGTCCTCCATGGTGTAATTGAAAAAATTTAAATACCTTGGACTGTGGATTGATTCTGAGCTTAGCTTTAAACCTCACATTGATCATATCACAAAAAGAGCTGTCTCAGTTCACTCTATAGATCTGTTAATTGTTTCACACTTGAAGTCAGGAAAAGGTTAATTTCTCAGTTCATATTTCCCATTATTCACTATGCTGATATCATCTGCATGAACACTAGTGACGCTGTTCTTGAGCCACTTAATGTTGTCTTTAACTCTCTGTAGATTTATTCTGAGGTGTCCTTTTAAAACTCATCATTGTGTAATGTATGCATCACTAAATTGGCTTCAGCTTAATTCAAGAAGAGACTTCCATTGGTTCCTATTTATTTTCAAATGTGCCTACTTTGATTGTCCTCCATATCTGAAAGAACTCTTGGTTCCTTGTAGTTCTATGTATCCACTTAGAGATATGCAATATCTCATCTTTACTGTACCAGGAATCTTTTCAGCTGCTGGACGTAAAGCTTTTCATTATAAAGCTACTTGCAATTTATAATAATAATATAATAATTGGAACAATCTCCCTCTTTGATTGAGATCCATCTCATCTTTTCGCAGATTTAGGTTATCTGTATTTCAATATCATAACAATGTGTGTGCATGTTACTGATGCTGGACTAAACAGTATTGCTTGTAATTGTATTTTGCTTCATATAATTGTCTAATTGATTTACCTCCTGTGGATTCGACCTCTGTCTTTCTTATGTGATACCTTTTCGCATTGAATCTCATTGAATGTATTATGGGTTTCACTTGTGTAATGAGATGTACTTATTGAGCTAGCTATAACATGTCTGAGCTATGATGTGTCTTCAGTCTGGGGCGAGGGTGTAAGCTGCCTAGTAACTTAATTGTTTTGAGCACTTGTTTTTTGTTTGTTTGTTTTTCCTGTTGTATAATGTATATGTGTATTTGGACCCTCTTGAAAACGAGATGCTGCATCTTAAGGGGCTATCCATAATAAACTGAAAATTGAAAAATTTAATTCAAAACAATTCTTGGGTAGTTGATTGAGTCATTAGTACAAACGATGTGTTGGGGGAAAATGGATTCATTGATAATTATCAATGTGGTAAGAAACCTTTTGTCACTAAGCTTAAAGCCACACTCCCTGATTGAGATTGCCTGAAAATACCAAAGTGACTTTAACAACTCAAAAAATGTCTTTGCACATTATTTTCAAGCTTAAAAAAACCCTCTCAATTTTATTACTGTTGCTTTAAGACCCAACTATGAACGGTGATTGAGCATTATAGAACTTTTTCACTACATTCAGCACTTTGTCATCAGTCATTTGAATACCTGGATCAGTACACCCCTTTTTCATGTCTCTGAAACAAAAGTTGATGAATTTAGTGCCACACCAAACTCAAACAAAATAACACTGAATGTTAATTTATCTAGTAGACCCTTGTGTTACATGTTATAAATATGTTATTGTCAAAAGTAAACTTCCAAGTGCAAATTTAGGGGGAGAAGGGAAGATGGAACCTAAATCTACCAATTAGACAGCTAAACCAGACTACTTCTGCTACGGCAGCATTTTTCCTTTAATCTTATTCCTAAATTCAGACTGTAGTGTTTTAAATTGTTCCACAGCGCTCTCTAATGAGTTAACAATAATCTGTTAGGATGAATTACTATCTTTTATATTTGAGGCAAGTTTTTCAAGTTTTTCAAAATTTCAGCCTCCTAGTTTGACATCATCATCCACCAAAGCATTCAAATATCAACATCTGCTCGTGGAGGTTTGGAAATGTTGGTTGCACATTGTACTCGGAGACAGGCCAGAAGAACTCCTAACTTATTGAAACATAGTAAAATAATTCATGGCTTTATTTACAAAAGGAATTATTTAATAATTATTTACTAAAAATTATTATTATTAGGTTTTAACCCAAGACCTTTTTTGCACTCCATTTTTGTGCATTAATGGGATTTATTTCTGGAGTAAAGTGGTTTATTTTCATTTTACAAGTCAAACTCATATGGATATACCCAAGATTCCAATTCAGACAAATAAATTGCTGATTGTATTGTCTAAGCAGCCACGAAACGGCAATATGATTTTTTCCTGATGAAAGGGATTATTATTAACAATAACAATTCATTATATTATGTAGTAAAACATGATATTAATCATTTCAAATTTGAAACAAGTTCACCCTGTAGTCTACCTGTTCTCACTCCCAAGTTGCCATATACAGACGCATGGTCAAGACCTCTTGGCGTCATTTATGAACTCTAAAAGCAGGTGTAAATAAGCAACGCCAAGGGGTCTCGACCAAGCATGCATATCTGACGAATTGTGAATGAGAATGTATGTAGCAATTTTTTTCTTAATGGTTTGTAAGCACATAATAATGCTCAGAGCAAAGCTTATTTGTTTCTGTTCGCTGCCAGTGGTTTGTTGCAACTAATGGTCTTTCTGCCTTCTCTGTCAGGTGGCATTCCCTTCATCCTGACCGGGGAACTGTTTGAACAGTCCTACCGACCTGCCGCCTTCATGATTGCTGGCATCGTCAACTGGCTGTCCAACTTTGCTGTGGGCCTTCTGTTCCCATTCATTCAAGTGAGTTACCTCATGTAAATGTGTGCAGGTGCACACCTTGCATTAGATTTTGGAGCTCAGTCAGTTCAGGGTGACAACATCAGTAGAGATGCTTCAAATTAACAAGTGACACTTCACGCAGTAAGTCATCAGTGGATTGTCAGCTAAACCAAATTAACATCAACTGTGTTTGTTACTTCAGCCTTGGCAGTCCATTAAAGTTGTCAGATCCTCATTAATTCCTGCAGTGGCTGCCTGCCACACCATGCTGCCTACTCTCCGCAGGCACCTCCACCTCCTTTCTGGACTCTCATTAGTCAACATAATTGTTATTAAAATAGCATAGTGATATTTCTGTAGTCCTATTACATAACATTATGTATTTCATATACTAATTATATGCAGCTACTGAGCTCTAATTGTTGCTCCTGGAAGCATCAGTGATCTCTTCTAATTTACAAGCTTTTCACAATAATGGTTTGAATGTAATGATTGAGTGTTCCCGACATGCACTGGACTTTTTGTTCCTTTTAAGTAAATTGAATATCAGTACTGGATTATACAAACTGAAACCGGAAATTAAAACTCCAGTCCCTCTACTGTAAGCCGGTGTGATCACCACCTCGGCTGGCAGAGTAGCTAAGCCACGAAGTCTGTTCCACCAGGCATTTGCTTTTATTACTTAACTTGGATTATGAGGCGCAGTTTTTTTTTCCCTTTGTTAGTGAGACAATCTGCAGATAACTGCACAAAAATGGCAGTAAAACAAACTGTAAAGGGACACCTATTTTAAACATTACATTCAGCAGGCAAGTAGGCAAAATCCAAAAGAACAGGCAAGGGGCAAGGAAACAACCCACAAAAAACATTAGAAACAAAGATGTGGAAAGGCTGGAACATTAGACACAAAGACAAACTGGCACTGAGACAAAGGAACACCCAAACTAAATACATTAGTGAGGGGAGGATAATTAGACACAGACGAAACTAATCAGGGCATGGCAGAAAATCACAATTGGTGGGAAACACACAAATGCAGAAAAGTAAAATGACTGATATGAGAGGATAGGTGAGTATTACAAAATAAAACAGGAACTAACTAAACTAAAACCATGACATCTTACAGCAGTGAAAACTAGTGCTGCAAAGGCTAAGCATAGCTATTGGAGAATGCTTTAACTCACCTTTTCTGGTTTTAAATTACTTACAGTTTGTTATTAATTATGAGCATCTTTGAAGTGGGACCCGAGAGACCCTCCACTTTTAGGAGGATAAATTTGTAACAGTGAAATAATAAGCAGATACAGACAGAATTGCAGACAGAAGAGCCTGTTAGTGTCTGACACAAGGCTGTTTTTGCCGGAAACTCCAGGGTCTTCTTTCAGCTTCTAAAACCTGATTGTTGCACCAAGCGGCAACTGTCTCCTCTAATTTTACCTCCTCTGTTTCTTTCCCTCTGTGCCTCTGTCTTTGTCTTTGGCCTCTGAACTTATTTTTTTCTCTTTCTGTCATTCACTCTTTTATTCTTACCTTTAACTTCAGTGTTTTTCGCTTCACAATCTCTTTATCGAACCACCCTCCTAGGAGTACATTGTGTGTGTACCCATTAGAATTGGGTTTGGTGTTGTCAGGGATTTTCAGTGTCTGAGACTGGGGGCCTTCCGTCCGACTAAGCTTGCTTTTTTTGGAGCATCTGATTTATTGATCGCTGTCGGGATGTAAATAGAATTCCCACAAGTATAACAACAAATTCTTCTAAAATAGATTGACCACCCAAGCTCGAATTTATCTCAATTCCTAGATGCCTGTGGGATCATGATTATGTTGTTTGATCCCATAGACCAGTGGTTCCCAACCTTCCCCTTAGGGGGGCGCCAGAGATCACAGGGGGTATCCAAAGCTTTATCTGTTTTGAGGTTGTCAAAAAAACTTTGGTTTGCATATTTTTTAAAAATCGTGATAACACACTAGATAATTTATACAAAAGTCTGTATATCGCTTTCAGGGGGGCTCAGCTTTTCTTAGATAAAAGTAGGGGGGGCGCCAAGGAAAAAAGGTTGGGAACCACTGCCATAGACCACTCAACAGTTGAGCCAAGATAACCCAATATTGTTGTTTTACTTAACTCCACACTACACCAAATACATATTAGTTCACAGGAGGGATCAGCCTGCAAATCACCCACCCAAACAACCAGGGGAGGGAGGCTTTGGCAAACTACGTTGTATGCAGCATGTGGGAGATGTAGATAAATAAAAGCAAGACAAGCGATCAAATGCCATAGCAAAGTGGATAGCTACACACTGCATGCTGATTAGTGTTGGGGAAGATGCCGGTATTAGGAACGTTCTTAAAATCACAACGTAGTCGCTTGGCCCCGTGGGGTTGCTCTTTGCTCCTGTTGATGTTCTGATAACTATTTAGTAAACAGTAATAGATTCCAGAAACTCACAAACAGCGAGGATCAGTCTCTCTTCCAATGCTTGGTGCTCCGCGTTGGGTACAAAAAGTTGAAGACAGTTCAACTTCGGCAGCGGTCATGTGTGTGAGGCGAGCACAACCGCGACACATCACCTCACTCTAACAGGGACACTTGCTATGGAACATAGACTGTTTATGCTGCTCCCTGATAAAAGGAAAAATGTTTTGTTGATACCCGTTCAGAAAAAAACAAGAAAACAGATTTATATATGTTAACCTGTTGCTCAGAAGGTGCCTGTTAGGATGTCATGATTGTGGCTCTGGACTCTAACTTGTTTTAACAAGCTACATTAAAGGTAATGACTGGCAGTGGCAAATAGCTTATTTGATTTGATTACATTAATGTTTAAGTGGAGATTTACAAAAAATATTTTATTGCTACTGTGCAAAGGGAATACTGTAAAAACCACCTCATTTGTTTAAAGTGTTTGCAAACCACATGTTATTGCACTTTTGTGTATATAGCAGTACATTTAAATTAAAAGTGCGCAATATAGTACTTTAGAATTCATTTTTCCATTTTTGCGCATAACTGTGTGATTAATTGCAATTAATCGCAGAAAATCATTTGATTAATCGCAATTTAAAAAATGCACCATTGCCCAGCACTAATAAATACATGCAATATTTTAACTAGAGCATATATTCCCATTAATAGTGTGACCACTCTGACGTAGTGCACTGTTTTCCCACTTGCTCTACAGGACTCAAACATACCTCTGGCCAGGTAAATGTCCTTGGTGCTTGTTTGTCTTCTTATCCCATTAATGGTCCCAAGGCCTCTGCTGCCTTTTCACAATACACTGATGTGACAAAACATTAGTCAGCACTCAGACACATGCTGAGAAGAAGACATAGCTGATTGCTTTATCCAAAGCACTTTTTAGGTTATTCATTGTCTCCTTGTCGTCATATCAGTCAGTAGGTTTTAAAGCATATAGAGTATAAATCAAGTAGAATCTGCCAAACACAAAATGCTCCTGTATTGCTGCACTCTGATCATCCAGACAGACAACACCAAAGAGATTAAGTACCCCAGGTAATCTGCTCTGAGTCTGAGGAGTCAGATGTCCTGAATTGACACCCCCTTTAACAAGGCCTGTGATGTGGCAATGCCCTGTGTTGAATAGGATTTGTAACCCATGAGGACATTCACTCTTAAACACCTGTACGCCAAACCGGTATACTTCACAGACCAGCGCGAAAGGCAGTGACAAAAAATGAGCTTTGCATTGCTGTGCCCAGACCACGATCAGTGAGAGTATAGCAAACACACTGGACATATTAAATTAAATTTACATTCCTCTTAAGAAGAGAATGGTGATTAGTGCAGCACCATCAGCTTTACTGACATGCAGGGATGGGATGAACTCATCACCTTGGGCACTAAAGCAGCTCGGGCAGCTCTGAGACAAACTGGTGGACTGCGGTCCCTAGGGCCAACACCAGTGGCAGAGCTGTCTTTTGCACTTTCTCTTCTCAAAAGGATGTTGAGTGATTGTATACAACACCAATGTTGACTCCCAGATCACTACCCCCCTAAAATAAATCCCACGTTACAGGCTTATTTGGCCTCAAGACCGATAGCCTTTGGACAGTGGAGAAAGCCATTCCTTCATCTGTCACATCCCGCAGGAAGAACAACACATCAAAACAATTATTTTCCTGCTGTTACACCAATTATAAACATGTGCCAGTTAGTACAGCAAGTATGACTACTTTGAATAGTTTCCATCATGCTGGTGGGCAGACTGGCAGCATCCTGATTTGGACCCTCACAAGCCAGATCCAGAGGGCTAACCACTGAGTAAGAATGTTAAATTCCTCTGTGTGCCTTGAATACAAGCTCTGTCACTCTGGCTGGGGGAATCAGGGGGTGTCTGGCTACCAGTGTGCCAGTTCATCATCTTCTGCCAGAAAGAAGGGCACTGAGTGTTCATTTGTGAGGAAAGGTTATCCACAGTGGACAGCCTGTGCGTTCAGAGGATTCGCCCTGGATAGGAGGTCTGCCCCCATGTTTGCGGCTCCAGGGACTCGAGTTGTGTGCAATGACAGGAGATGTGTGCTGCTCCACACTCTTAACCTGTGTACCATTTGCAGTGAAAACACATTTGCTTTTAAAATGACTTTGAGACAGTCTGGTGCATAATCAACAGCTCATTTTGGTTTTCTCTTCACTTTCTATTTTTGTGAGCCTATTCTAAATTGTAGTTGTATGCACTAAGCTGCAGTGAATAGTGTAGTCGTGTGGCAAGAAACATCTTTTTGGGTGAGTAAAGCCATAAAAATCAAGTGAAAATCAGGCTGCTTCTTCTTAATTGCTAAGCCCAGACTGGAGTTTCCTAAATTTCCTAAATTTTAAAATCAATCAGTAAATTGCTGTAGGCTGCAACAAACAAACAACACATTTATATAATTACATTAGGCAGAAGAAGAGCATTTAGTTGCTATAATAAAAGTTAAAAGTGAATTATGCATAATAACTTGTTGCTTAGTCCCGCTACTGGAAGTTTCGAATATTCACTCTGAATTACTATCGA